ACGCTTGCTAACGAGGAACTCGAGGTGGTTGATCATTTCACTTATCTTGGCAGCTGCGTCAGCAATGATGGGCGCATAGAAACTGACGTGAGCTCACGCATTGCAAAGGCCAGAGCTGCGTTCTTGAACCTGCGTCATCTTCGGCGACAGAAGGGAGTTTCCCTCCGTCTGAAAGGCCGTGTATACAAGGCCACAGTGAGGGCCGTTCTGCTCTATGGTAGTGAGACTTGGCCCCTTCGGTCTGAAGATCTGAGGCGCCTTCAAGTCTTTGATCATTGTTGTTTGCAAAGCATTGCTGGTGTCGGATGGCACCAGCGTATCCCCAACGATGATGTGCGTAGGCGAGTACTAGGTGATGATGATCATGCTAGCACCCTAGAACAACAGATAGCACTGAATAAGTTGCGTTGGCTCGGGCACGTGCTACGCATGTCTGGTCGCCGCTTACCTAGGAGGGCCTTGTTCAGTTTACCAAGTGTAGGATGGCGCAGGGCTCGCGGTGGACAGAAGTTGACTTGGCAGCGGGAAATGAAGTCACTGACAGCCAAGCTGGGTACCGTTGGTCCGTCTCGCCTTCCGAGTTGGAGTCCACGTGACTCGCCTTGTGCTTGGCTCGAGACTTTACAGGACATGGCTCGCAACCGACACCAGTGGCGCGTCTGCTGCCGTCTTCTAATCGGATTGCCTGTTTAAAGTGTGTTTGCTGCTGAGTTATCTGCGGGGTAATGGCTGATTATGACGCGTGGCAGTGAAAGCCGCAAGGAAGCTGTCTCGTTGATGCCGCCTTATCTTTGCACGATAGCCAGCTGTTTGTGACGGAATGTTGTCTACACAAGGTGTAGGCGCCTTGACCCTGAATGTTTGCTTAGGGCATTAAGGTTTTCAGGTAAGTCCGCCTTCTCTCCCTCTTATTCTTTATTCCATATGTCCTCATTGTTGTAGGGCAGCGAAGCATCAGTTCAGATGGCTGATGTACTGCTGTTGATGATTGATTGACGATGAACACGTTTGGCTGGATAGACTTGCTGACGTGGCAAGGAGCCGACCTGAGTGGCGTTCGTGCTGTGAGTTTCTTTGTCCATCCCCATCCCTTTTAGCCCCCCCTCCACCTAGGATCTCATTTCGTAGCGTAAAACAATAATTTTTCTTTTTGCCAATAGCCGGTTGTTAGCTTACCGGAACGATGCCTATCCGTTGCTGGTAGCTCAGCTGGCATGCAACTGTCGTATTTATTTTCCTTTTCCCTTATATATATTGCGGCACAGTAGCTGAAGTGTTTCCAACTTCTATCTGACGTGTATAGTGATATAATGATGATGATATGAAGCATCAAGAGACAATCAGGGCCAGCGCGGGTGCCCTGATCCACAATAGGGAGCACCGTATAGCTTGTTAGACGGAACACTTTCGAGAGCAGCTCAGTCGTCACCTTGCTTCTGGACCTCTTCCTACTCATATTTTGCAGGCTGAACTGAGCCTTGGCTGGTTAGTTTGGAAGCTCCGTCAGAGGCTGAGGTCCGAAACGCGATCGCAGCGCCTACATATTTTCGTGCAGCTGGTCCGGGTTCTTTCGCACCGCATTATTTAATGATGGTGCTGAGGTCCTCGGCAAAGCACTGAGCCTGTTTGAACAGGTATGGAAGGCTGAGACCATCCCAGCTAACTTGAGTGCATCGGTTATAGTGGCGATGTACAAGTACGGTAGTCGACTGTGCCAACGATAAATCTATTGTGACAAGATTGCTGCCCTCGATTCTCGTTCTTCGCCTCACTGCGGAACGGGAATCCCAGAGTAGGAAAGAGCAGGCAGGACGTGGCTGTGTAGACCACACATTTACTTTGCGGCAGGTGCTCGATCAGCGCCATACGTAACGCAGGCCGACAATAAATGTGTTCCTGGACTTCAAGAGTGCCTTCGACTCAGTCGATCGATGCATTCTGTTCGTAATACTTGTGCGGAAAGGTATTCCCACCAAATATGTGAACATTTTACGTTTCATATTCTCGAACACGACGTGCCGCGTCATGGTCTACGGTGATTTGTCGGATGCGTTTCTGACAACAAGTGACGTTCGTCACGATTGTCCAATTTTTCCATTTTTGTTCCCTTGCGGAGCCTCACGATGCAGGCATTTAGATGCTGCCGGGTGAAGAGCTAGTTGCTCTTGATTATGCGGACTATATTGTCTTGCTTTCTTACAACGCTTTTTTAGTAATATGGCTGCCCAATCAACCCTGAATAACCTCTAGAGTGCTCCCGTCATTTGTCATGCGCTTCACGCCTACAAAGCGCAGTGTTGTTACTAGATCACCAACCACTTAGTGACCCCTTGCTGACAAGGAACCCGGGGTAGTTGATCAATTCACTGCTGCGTCAGCGAAGATGGGCGCATAACGACTGTAGTCAGTCCATGCATTGCAAAAGCATGAGTTGACTTTTTGAATCTGCCACCACTGTAGTCTCAGGAAGGAGTTTCCGTCGATCTGAGGGCCGTGTTTACAAGGCCACAGTGAGGGCAGTCCTACTGTATGGGAGCGAGACTTGACCCCTTCGATCTGAAGACCTGCCGCGCCTTCAAGTCTTATCTTTGTCTGATAGCCAGCTGTTTGTGACGGTATGCTGTTGACAAGTTGTACGGGCTCTGATCCTGAGTTTGTTCATGGCATTAAGGTTTACGTTAGGTCCCCCTTCTCCTCCCTCTTATTGTTCCTCGTTCCCAAGGTCACCGTGGTTTTACGGCAGCGAAGCATCAGTTCGAGTGGCTGCTGTTGGTGGTGATACTGAATATTGAAGCTAGAGAGCGAGAAATTATAAATCCGTGTTGCTCCATCATAGATCGGACACGTGCACGGGATCACGTCGCTGATCCTGCGCGAGGACAGCATAGGACAGCTGCACCACTTCTTTTCCAGGTGCGATATGTCCTATCTATCAAGTGGGCGTCGAGGAATCTCTTAAATTCGGACACTGATTTCACCTCGACTATTGTCTCTGGCAACTTGCTCCAATATTTCACCACTCGGCGCTCGAAGCATAGAGGATGAGCGAGGCGCTTTAAATCCGGTACCACTAGGTTGCACCGGTGTCTGCGTGTGCTGCTTGGTGCGCGAACGTGCAGCAGCGGCCGCAACATAGGGAAATGACCCAGGCGCAATAGCTGGGGCGTCACTATGTGGTCAACTAAAATCCGACGATATAACGGTATACAGCCCTAGTCTCCTACATCGGTACTTGTAATACATGCCCCGTAAACTTGGGGTGAACCGGGTAGCTACATGCTGAACCCGTTCCAGTCTCTGCACCTCACCTATTGTGATCGGACATTACGCGGGGGAGCCATACTCCACCACTTGTGACGCTGCTGCTGCTGATGATGATGATGATTATGATGGTCATGATCATGATCATGATGCATTAGACACGACTTGTTAGGTCTGGAGCTTCTACCTCGACATATTCCTCTTATCTATAACAGCTCTCAGAAGTGCCACGAGGCACGGGGTACATTAGCCTGTTTGTCAATCATTTCGAGTTATGCTTTACACCCTCCAACTGCAAAATCCTTTTCCATGATTGGCAGGGACCGCCTCTCGTGCTGACCCTTGGTGGGGACCAATTGTAAGTCGATTCGAAATTCAGTTACCCAGGCAGTTGTATCAGCGCCTGTGGAATCAAAGGCCAGGACGCGAACCGTATTACTTAAGCACAGGGCGCTTTCGTCAATCTCTGTTACCTGTGGCGCCGGCACGCCATCATTCTCTCCCTAAATGCAGCCGTCTGTACAACCGTACTGTGTGGTTGCGAAACTTAACCCACCAGACCGACAGTCGTAGAGGCTAATTACGTTCCATCATCGCTTCCTTCGCAGCAGCTCATGTCTGATGGGAGAACCGCGTGAGCAATAAGTGCTCAACACTATTATATCACACCGCAGGCTCCGATATCTGGGCCACGTGTTGCGCGTGCCAGCACACCGGCTCTCGATATGCGTTATTTGTGTGACCAAGGTGTAGATGGAAGAAGAGAAGGGTAGGCCAGGCGATGACTTGGCCAAGCTGAATGAAAACTCTCGTTTCAAACTTGATGCCGGCTGTTAGCTCTCGACTGTCCAGCTAGGGTCCGATGGACGATGAATACGTTTGATTAAATACACTAGCTGACATGGCGAAGAGTCAACCTCAATGATGTTTGTGTTGTGAGTTTCTCTGTCCCTCCCTGTTCAATCACGATCTAATTCCCTGTGCGTGATGACAATTGGCATCATATTACTTTTGCTTTTATATTGTATTCTGTAATGTTTTGCACCTCACTTTTTTATATCTTGTCTTTTTATATTGCGGCACAATAGCTAAAGTCCGTTTCTCACTTTCAGCTAACGTTTAGTGATAGTGATACTCGTTCCTAAACGGATGGAAGATCCATGTCGATGGTCAACACTGCATAAAATTAGAGGGGGGGGCTAGGTACCAAGGAATGGAATTTGGACGAATTGGCAAAACCATAAACACATCAGCGAATTGGTAAAGCTAGGAAAAGTCTTGTCCCAGAAGTATTTGTGAACACATTTCAGGCTGTGTACAGTTTGAGGCCTGTGTATTGATGGTCTCTTTACCGAAAAGTACCAAGGCAATCACCACTGGAGAAACCTGTTAAATGGGTCCTAGCCATCGAAATTTTGCAATTAGAACCAAAATATTCCAGTTAAACTGTTTTACAACCTATGCAGCCGTGTAACTCTCTGAGCTTTCAGCATCAACCTGCGTTTTTATATTGCAGTTACCGAGCATATTTGTAATGGCATGGGAGAGGATGTTTGATGCTACTGCCTTTATGATAGTGGATAGGCAATCATGGATAGACGAAGCATTGTTTTTGAATGAGGAACAACACCTGGTATTGCTTTTTCCATAACCTTTGCGTCGCACACAGGGCCTTGAGGTTGACTGTGCCTGTTGAGGCCACGGAAGGAGTTTTTACTTTGATACAGCAGCGGCGACATTTTCACCTGAGACTAATGAGGCAGTTGCTGTTTTCACAGGTTTTGATTAGCATATGATAGATGCGCCATACTCGTTTTCTGCTTTATGTAACTGATCGTACGCCATTTCGTGGGATCGAGTCTGTTCGAAAGCGGCATGTAGATCGAGTGACATGTTTTCCAAGGAACGTTGACCTAAAGCTTGCGATTGAAACCCATTTACACATGTGTCTCGGATGACCTCTGCGAGTTTCTCGCCTGAGTCAGTGACTTCAGCTTCTTCATGAATTTTTCCAACGTTTCATCCACCTTTTGGCTTGTAGTGGTCTCATTTTCAACCCAATGTAAATGGTTCTGATACTCTAACGCGTTCGTAGATTGGGCACCCTTTTCTGTAATCGTATACATCAGGGGACATTTAGTTCCCAGAATCCTTATTGTCCTACGCATGGCACCTGAGCGTCTACCGCGTCGTGCTCTATTCGATCGTCAAGGACCTGGCTGGAGGCGATCGAGTGGCGGTCAGCCTTCCACTTGGCGGCAGCACATAAAATCGCTGACGTCGTGTCTAGACGCTGTTAGATCCGTACGTCTTCCAGGATGGGGACCCAAAGATGAGGAGTGCCAATGGCTTAGGACTCTTGAAGACATGGCCCGCAACCGGAATCAGTGGAAGAATTGTGTACAGTATTGTATTGATTCCCATGTTTAATACTACAAAGATTAAAATGACAAAAAAGAGCAAAAGCGGCGTGTGAAAAACAAACTAAAAATGTTTTGTTCTACTTTTTATCACAATGATCCATTCTTCCTGCGGCATATTGGTTGAAGTATGTTGCTCACCTTCAACTAGCATGCCACGATGATTATGACGAAATGAATCTTGCTTATCTGCTTATCTCCATGGTTTTATGCTGGCTCTGTGTCTAGTTAATAGACTGTTGAGATTACATACATACATGGTTGGCGACATCCGGTTTCGGATTTGCCTGTCACTGTGGCAAGCCACAGGACGCCTGCGCCTACAGAGGGACCATGGATGGCTTGCGCTGAACCACCCACAGCTCCAACCACACACCCCATATCCAGTGTAAACCCGAAGGAATAAGACCGGGAGGCATGCGGATGGGAGCCACGTTTCATCAACGGAGCCGGCCCACACTCCTTCACAGGCAAACACAAGCACACTGTATTTGGGGAATCAAGCGCACACAAGGCGGTGGCTGAACCGTAGTCCGCTCCATACTGAGTGCATGGAACCACTCTTCGAGCCTAACACGGCCACAAGGACCCTGCACCCCGTCCCCTCCAGCAACGACCAACTGTCTCCTGGAGTCAGTATGGACGAGGTAGTGGGTAATAGACAGGTAGGCACCTTGTCAACATGCACATCAAGCGCAGCCACACCGGGGAGATCAAACAACAGCCAAACACTTGAGAGAGAGAGAGAGAGAGGAAGAAACAGAGAACAACTCGATTAATGCATAAGGAAACGGTGACATAAACCTTAATTAAATAGCATAGGTAATAAGTTGTTTACAAACAAATCCTAGCTAAGTGCACGAGGTCAGGAAGTATAGTTCACGGAATGCCACGAACACAATAATGTTATGGAAATCTATTACAATTGGCTGAAGCGATGTGCGCAAGTTAATGGAATTTCGAA